CTCATTGAGAAGGTATGTATGCTGTTACAAAATAAATAGCTGATAAGTCTGTCAGCTGCACTCAAATGATAAGCGACGTTCCTGAATCTGTTCCTGAATACATAATGTTACAAAATAAATAGCTGATAAGTCTGTCAGCTGCACTCAAATGCTGTTGCAAAATAAATAATGTGTTATCTTCATTGGTATATATATACATGCAGCTCTCCTGCATGGTCTTAAAAATGTTATTTGCACCTAAATGATAAGTGACGTTCCTGAATCTGTTCTTGAATCTTTTCACGCAGACACAAGTGGACACAAGGAAGCCTGCATTCCGGTGGTTGGGCATGGCGGGGAAACCAAAAGCAGAGAATGGTGTCACAATTGTTGCATCCCCAGCAAGCAAGACTCTGTCAAACAAGAGAGTCTTTGGAACTGAACTCACTAACATTGGTATAAATAGAAGCAAGCTGGAACCAACAATCCAGAAGAAAGCGAAGCTGGCACAGGGCGGTGCTGATATCTTGAAGAACCACAACGTGGCTGCGCAGAAGCAGCCCGGGCAGGTTAACAAGAGTGGTTTTGTTTATGGGCCTTTCCACCCTTCTTGTGCAAGAAAACAGGAGCCTGATGAATGTAATAATGTTGGACAAAAGGCGATTGCCCATGATTGGGAGAGCCTTGCTGATTCATTTCGACCACAGTACCAGAACCCAGGTTGGTATTTATCAGCACTTCTTTGGTCTGGTTTTGTTCCTTAGTAGAAAGTTGCTTACTTTTTTAGATGATGAGAAGTCAATCACTTTGTCACTGCAGATGTTATTTTCTGATAGGAAAATACTTGTCGTTTGATTGTGCTGGAAATATGAATTACAGTATGACTAGCAATCTAGCTGAAGTTACAGCATGAGGCCTACTGAATTTTCCCTGACATGCCTTTGGTTGCTATGCTTCTTATTTGTCATGCATACTCGAGGAGCAGAAAATATGCCATATAAAGTGAATCATGTCATTCAGAATCAACCTTCCAAATGAAACTAATCATGCTGTATTTGTAGACTTGTAGTATGAGATGCTTATTTGAAATATGTAAGAAATAGTTTTACAGTTGGTACACTCATACTAGATTTCATGGCTGCTCATAATGTGGTATCTGCAATATTTTAGTTGGTGTTAGTTAGTAGACTCGGCCTATGCAAGTGGTATTTCTCTGAATAGTTTCCAGTGCGGAAGAAGATGCGCATAGCTCCATACATATATGAATATGCATATCTATCTGATTTTGGAAATCATGTTAGACTCGTAGAGATAGCATGTGAGCTCTCTGCCTCTCTGGAAGCAAGCTCATTGTTTTTCACAATGAGTTATTTGAGAAGATACTAGAATAAATTATAGTATTTATTTGGCCAAATCTATTATTTTCCATCAATTACAGAGCACTGACATCTTTTGAGAATTTCTCAAGGAAAAAAGCCTGTGGTTGACATTTTCATGTGGTTCTGTTGCTTGAACTTCCAAGCATTGGATCAGTACGAGACATTGAATCTTCTCCGTTATAATGTCAAAAAACTGACAGTTTTTTCCCCATTTTTTCTGAATGCAGCACTTGGTGACCTTTTTGCTCATTACGTGGATGCGTGGAAGTCGTGGTACTCTGAATTTTCGCAGGGTAGCAGCATCATGCAGCAACACTTGGGCAGTTCTGTTAATAATAAACGATTTTTGTAGGCGAACTACAAACCCAAGCACAGTAGTCCTGCATGCTTGGGATTTGACCTGTACAATTTGTCAAAATAGAAGAAGAGGGGAAACAGATAGATTTGCTCGGCCTAGGGTTCATTGTATTTACTCAATGCAGGAAATCATTAGGCTTTTCTAGTCCAAAAAGAGTGAGAACATTTTCTCACTGCCAATGTGTAACTTGTCTACTGTTCATTCTTGCACCTACAGGTGTGCCTACCTCTGCATTCTAAAGCTTCTGTTTAGCGCATCTCTTTCGGCAACAATCAACTGACATTAAAACACTATTGTTCGCCAGAGTTGTATCCTTTTTTATGATACAACCTGGATGATCTCATTTACCGAAAAAGGGTTTCCCCCGCTTTGTATACAAATCAACCAACCAAGCCGTACAAGGATATGTGTTGGGGCGGAAGCAGCACAGACACGCCCAAAAGAAACGACAGAGAAAAAGCAAAAGAAACAAATGCCGACAACGGCGGATCAACGAAAACGAAGAAGCCTCGCGAACGCTGCGCCCACCGGGATCTTCTACTAGGCTCCAAGACTCCGAAGCGTCGGCACCTATCAACACCTCCAAGAAGGATCGCGACGATGACGACGCTGCTGCCAAGGGTTTCCCCCGGTACACGACGAGGCGAGAGGAAGGGTAGCCCCCGACGCCCTCTCGGAAGGTCAGGTGGCACCCACAGGCGCCACCGCGCCAGTGTCAGCCAAGCCGACAGGGGTTTCCCCCGATCCCAATCCGCACCTCGGGCGCTCCGGAGCCAGCCACCAGACCAACCACCAGCCAGCGCCAACACGGTCAAGAGGCCCCCACGCCGTCTCACCACGACATCGCGAAGTGAGGACAACGCGGCGAAGAATCAGAGTCGGGACTAGGGCAGCAGCACCGTCGGCACGCGGGAGGGCCCCACCTCCACCGTCAGCGAAAGTAGCCGTCCGGACGCAATAGCTGGAGCACACCAGACTCGTAGGCCCACAGGCCCGGCCGAGCCCTCGTGGGCCCATAAAGCTCCCGCCCTCGCGCTGCTGCCGGCATGCCATCGGCACTGCCGCCCACATCCGAGCCGCTCCTCCTCCACACCGAGCCGCAGACAGCAAGGCCACACCGACGCCGACCCGCTAGGACCCAGATGGGGCCCTAAGGGCCCAGATCTGGGCCGGGGGCGCATCGCCAGCCACCAGCGCCACCAAGCCACCCCGCCGCCAAGAGGCAGCGCCACCACCGCGCCGGCCGCCGGCCCTCGCCACCAGGACGCCGGACCACCGCCAGCCGAGCTGCACCCGCCGTCGCGCCCTGCCCCGGGAAGAGCGCTGCGCGCGGGGGAAAAGAAGGCCCACTGCCGCCGAGCCGCCC